GGAGCTGAACCCAAGGCCAGTTTAGGAGTGTCTGAATGCAGTGTCCTCTCCTGCAAAATCCCCTCAGTTGTTAAGTGAGGAGGGAATCCTGCAATCAGACAGATAAGGCCTTGAGGTCCAGCAGCTGCTACAAGTATTCAGCTGTCTCCCTGGTGCTTGTCTCCCTGAGGAAAAGAAAAGACAAGGCATCAGTCAAGGTTTATTGCAGCCTCCTATGCAAATTCACCTCTCTGCCCAGCTGGTTTGCTCTGATCAGGACGGAGCCCTTCCCCAGGGAAGTGAACGACCAGCAAGACTGGGACTACCTGAATCACCCAGTCCTCCTCAGCTCTATGCCAGTGCTTTAGGGAGTCCCAAACTGTTGCTCTAGTAAATAAACTTGGTTTTACTCTCCCTACCAGCATTGGCCTCATCCAGCCATGATTTTTCACCTGATTTACTACACAGGCAGCTCAGCTGTCCTTGGCTTGCAGCAGAAGGGACATAGCTGCTGCTCACTCCCAGACACCATGCTGTGTTTTGTAGCTTGGAGGGTCCCTCCCACCTGCTTACCTCTCATGGAGTTGCTCCTTGAGGTGGGTGAGAGTTGGGTCAGTTAGGTTCTGGTCAGGATTCTCCAGCTGGGATTTGCTCAGATATTTGGCTGTCTCATGTGTCCTGGCCAGATGAGGTCTTCCCTCCTCAGACTGCCCTTTTTCAGGCTCCCACCCCTCAGGATGGTCCACGGTTAGGAAGGAGCTATAGCTCTCTTCTAAGGAGCCAGCACCCTCATCATAGAAGAGGAGGCTCCGTGACTGAACTGGAAAAGGGGAGTGTTGGTTAACAATGAGGGCAAGGTCTCTTGCAATGGGTGTGGGTCATTGTGGTGGTTTCAGCACATGTTCACCCAGCTATGGCCTTGTCTATGTGCTCTGCAGGATACCCATCCTCCCCCCAGCTTCAGGAGGCAAATACCCGCCATGACACACAGCCTCTTCAGAAGACAGTCGGTCTGCCATGGGACTCTCCCCTCATGTTCCTTGCTCTGACACTTGTCAAGTTTTGGGACAATGGTAAGTAGGGAATGACAACAGGCCCAAACATGGAGCTGTTATCAGAGTTTGTACCACTGTCAGGCAGGAAACCTGCCCTTGCCAGAGCCCCGGCATATGGGGTAGGCACTGGGGGAAGGACATTACCCCTGGACCAGGAACGTTGAAAGAAGAGCTGGAAATGGGTTTGACAGGGTGAAATGGAGGAACCACGTTAGACTCACTCTTACTAGTTGTGTAAATGTCTGGTGCTGGTGTTGCTTTCACTGTCTGTGATGCTGAAGAGAACTCAGGGAGACAGGGCATCAGGGATCCCAGGATCAGAACGAAGCAGAGTGCCAGCACCTAGGGAGGAGATCAGCACAGAGTTAGTGCTGCTAGCCATGAGGAAACACTCCCCCCAAGCACACAGACATATGGCTGTGTGAGAACATGTGGTCAGACTGACAACTGGGTTGCTGTGGTCCCTCACAGAGGGAAAGGGCTTGCTCTGCTAATCTCTGCTGCAAGTCTTAGAAGGGAAGTCAGAAGCTTCCTCCTGTTGCTTTATTTGAAGTATTTCTGGTTCAGTGTTGAGAACTTGCCTGTCCAGTTGATGATGGTGGAAGGTATGGCTGGGGAGCAAGGTGAGAAAGAGGGAGACTCAACAGAAGGGATGAACTCTGCTTTGCCCAAAGGGAACCTGGCCATTGGCTCAGTAGGAGCTGTAAGAAAACAAGCTCACTGGGAGGAATCTGTGAGGTACCACAGCACACAGCAAGGTGAAGCCACTGTCCATGTGAGGACAGAAATGACAGTCAAACTGCAGCCACCTAATACCTGATAGCAATGATGGAGAATCCAGGGAAAGGGTTAAACTGATGCTTGACATGCACATATTCAGGACCATGTGTCTGTACCTTCTGCTGTCAGGTAGACCAGTCAGAGTTACTGGGCAGTGGTAAAAGGAGAGAGGCAGATGAAAACTCCCTGGAAATTCCCCTCTGGAAGGTTTTGCCATGACAGTAAAGCTTCACAGTGAGATGCCAGTGCTGATCATAAAGAACTCTATAGGGTTTAGGGAACTACCAGTATAGAGCAAGAGGGGACACATAGGAAACAAGAGAGAGCCAAATGCTTATTACCTGAACACCTATGTGGCATGGGTGGTGTATAACTGCTGCCAGCAAAGTGCTCAGTCTGAGCATGTCGAAGAGGCAATGCATTTCCGTATAAACTAGCTAAATTTGACCTGTGGGGACACCTGTGGGGATAGCCAGCAATTGCTTGACTGCTTTTCAGAACAGCCACCTATTTAGGAACAGCCATGCCTAAGTAACACACAGAAGCAGGTACATCGAGGTAATTTTGACCACCAGTGGATTCCAGATGTGGAAGATCAAATAATAGCACGGGGATACTGTGCTATATAAAGAGGGACTTTAATTGTCCAGGCTCTTCATGGCTGGTTTTAAACTAAGGAAACGAAATGTGGACAGCATAAATGCTGTTTAAGCACATCATAGCAGGCACACAAGGCATTTAGAACTCTTACTCCACCACAAAAAAGGAGGAAAAATAAACTTTGAATAGATGTTGCTTGGAATTATCACAGCCAAACACACAGCTCCCAGAAAGGGGAGCCAGCCCTGTGAAGCCTGTTCTTCTCTTCTACATCAATATAGGCTTTATGGGCTGGGAAAGAGCAGTACACTTAGCAGCTTGCTTTAACATGGCTTTCAACTGGGGTTTTGCAAACCAGCACTGGGTTTACTCTGTTTTGTTTCAGCTTAACTTTGATGCTCTGATTCGGTTCCAGTTCAAACTCTGACACACTTAATAACTCTTAGTTTGACTTTGCCCATCACAGCTTTTGACCATCTCCCTGTTTTGACCTCTTGAAATGTGAGGGAAACTACTGCAAAACCAGTTGGAAAGGTGGAGGCAAAATTAATCAGAAAAAGACATCCTGAGAGCAGAGTTCTCACATGGTTCAGTGTCAAAATGGGAGAAAGCAGCAGATGGAGGAGCAGAGAGCTCCACTGTGGCTCTGGCAAGATTCAGCAGTTTTAAGCTTGGCTTCAATGATGGACTGTGTCAGATCTACAGATGGGAGAGGCTACAAGCAGACTGGCTTTTGGTCAGGATTCAACTTCAGAGTGATCTTGACCATGGGGAGAAGTGGTCCAAGAGAACAGCAGCAGATCTGTACAGACAAATGTCAAGACCTGCTGAGATGGCAGGACTGATTGACAGAAGAAACACATCAGTGACTATGTGGCCAGGAAGAAGAGGATCTGGGAGTAAAATGAAGCATAAGGTAGGAAAAAGTCAGTGCCACTTTGCAAAGGGCAAATCTCATGCAAACCCCATGCAGTATGAACAGGCTTTCTGGCTGGCTCTGTACCAGCCTTCAGGTGGAACAGTGTATCCAGCTTTGGGCCCTGTGCTTCCAAAAATATGTGGGGCAATTGGAGAAAGTCTGGGAACAAGCAGTGATTTCAGCCTACAAGGGAAGACTGAAGAAAGAGTGGTGATTTAGCAGAGCAGACTGAAGGGAGTTGCTCAAAAAACATAGTTTTCAAATATGTAAAGTACAGCTGCCCAAAGGGAGGGTAAACGCATCTTGCTTACAGTGGGCAGAAGAAGTTGTAATAGGCTTCAGCTCTTGCAAGGAAGATTGAGATGAGATAGCAAGAAAGCTTTATCTGGGAAAGATAACAAAGGACTGGAATGGTTTGCTTGAGGAGGCTGAGTTCTGCTCATCACTGGAGGCCTTTAAGGACTGGCTGGACAAATATCCAGCAGGAACGAACAGGGCTAAAGAGAAGGGTACTCTGCTTCAGTCCCATGCTGCAAGGCATGATGATTCTACATATCTGTTGTGATAAGGAGTGCTGTATTTGGAAATGGGAACTTGGGGCCCTATGAGAGGAACTGGCCAAAGATAGAAAAGCAAATGACAAATTCTTGAAATGCTTCAAAGCCAGGAAGCCTGAGAGAGTTGGTGTGTGGGCTGGGGTGCTGTGGAACGAAGGGAGCAGCAAAGAGAGATAAGACATTGCTGGGAAGCTAAATTAGGTATTTTATCAGCCTGTAGCACAGGGGATGTCTGGAGGGCACCTCTTCTGGACTTGCTCATTCCAGGTAGTAGCAATGAAGGATTTCAGGAGCCAGGGGTGCTCTGATGAGCTGTGCATTAAGGAGCAATGAGTCACTGGGCCCGGCTGGGTCACACCCGAAAATGTGGAAAGAACTTGGGAATGAAGCGAAGCCACACAGCAGGCAAGGGAAGAGCTTCAGGCATTAAAATCGGGTCTGACATGGGGGCAGCAAAGAGGAGCAGAAGTTTGAGCAGATTTTGACAGGAGGATGTGCTGGAAATTACAGAGCAGGGGCTCTGGAACCAAGGAAACTGAACCGAGAGTGAAAAACAACCCCTCAGGACACTGGGGTGCTGAGAAAGTGGGGGAAGAACCTCACCATCCACTTGTATTTCTTGCCTGTTAACAGTACAGAAGTGATTTCTAGATGTAGATAACTAGCTTTGACAAACTCATCACAAGCAGCTACTATGACAATCGTAGAATCATAGAATGGTTTGGGTTGGAAAGGACCTTAAGATCATCTAGTCCCAACCCCCCCTGTCATGGTTGAAAGTTCTATTTTTACCATCGATCAGAAACTTTTGCCCTGGCAGAAAAATAAGATAAAGAATAAGCAATTGACTCTTATCTATGGCCACACACTGGCATGCCCCAAAACTCCACGGTGAAGCCAATACTGCTTCACTGTGAGAAACGAGAGGCAAAGAGGATTACCAAAATGATTAGACAACCCCAAATCACTTTGGTTAGTCAAAAAGGGCGAAGAGAATTCCAGCTGGATTTAACAAAGCCTAATGAACAGACATAGAAAGAACAGATGCTATTTCTTGCTGATAAACACAAGGTAATGCCCACTGGGAAGAATACTTGAACTGTTGGCCTGTCCTGCTGGGTTAAACATTAAGCATCACTAACTCAGCAAAAGAAAACTCTCCCCATTATAATGGAAGCTCATTGAAGGTTTTTGCTGAATGGCCAATAGCTCAGGAAAAGCAAACAAAGTGCTGGCTTGCCCAGAGAAGAAGGCAGTGAAAACGCAGGAATTATTCTAGCGTTGTTGCATGAACAGCTGATGCTACCAATGTACTTAGGACTGGTGACTCTGACACAAAGGGAGACAGATGTAACTGGCAGCAGAGCTGGGCAGGGGGGAAGAGGGCAGAGACAGGCAATGAGCAGAGCTGGCTGGGGAAGCATGGCCAGTAAGGAGGATGGAAATGAAGTTTGTACCATCAGGCAGGTCCCGGTCTGTGTGGAAGCCATTTTGTAAGGTCTGGAGACTTTCCCAGCTACCAGAGCCTGCAGCTTCTGTAACTGCTGGAGCAGAGTCCTGTGATAGGAAACAAGCCAAACCACAACTTGATAAGGATACAAGAATGCCACTAACTCCCTTCATTTTACCCTGATTTTTCCTTCTTGTGAAAACAAGTATCTCCCCCTTGCTGTATCTTGCTCCAAGTTCTCTGACCAAACAGGCTTGGGAAGCAGGCAACAAAAAAGGGTGAGTGCAAGATATAAAGTATGCAGGGACTGCAGGAGGAATGCCTCAAGATGCTGTTGCATTGAGGTAATACCCTCCATCTCCTCAGCAGTAGCTGTACCACAACCTTCACTGCAACTACCCACCATTATGAACGAGCTGTTTAGCACTGCCTCAAAGCCCAGGCAGTCACCTCCCAGAGCAATGGACAGGCAGGTTACCATCAAAACCAAGCTGTGGGATGGTGACTGAAGTCTGTAGTCAGGTCAGACCTTGAGCACAGACCCACCTGCTCCCTCTTCCCTCAGACACACACTTTGCAGCTCAGCCTGTGCCCCAAACCGTTACAGTGGAGAGAGAAAACAGTTGTGATCCCCTCCAGCTTCTTTGGTTTTGGCAAACCCTGCACAGGGATATGGGCAAAGCCAGATGTTGAGTTCAGATTCATTCTCTGGCTGCCCTGGCTGGAACACCACTAAGGTCTCTCTGCTCCATTTAACTGAACACGGGGAGAGGCACACATAAACACAAACCAGTGGTAGAGGTGTTACTAAGAGCCACCAAACCCTTCACTGGGCTGGTGGAAAAACCTGGGATGAGGGACATGACAGACCACACAGTTCCCAAGGGCTGCAAGTTACTCACATGCAGACTACTGCGTGTTTTCCCCTGGGAGCACTGACTGTTTTACACAAATATGTTTGAGCTTTTATAAAATGCCAGGTCCTGGAGCCAGGAGATTGCAGGAGAATCCCACCTTTCTCTCTTTCCAAATCCTCTTCTGCTCCTCGTACAACCGGAGAGAAGGACAGAGTGTCCCACACAAACCAAACCCAATTAGAAAGAACACAATGTGTATTCTAACAAAATACCCCCCTAATAATCTCCTGGCTCCATGAGCTGCAGTGGCTGTTTTTTTTTGGCAGGAGGGTGGGACTGGCTCTCTTGCTGCGGTTCTCCCCTTCAATTTGAGCTGGGGTGATAGAAATGGGGCTGTAAAAATGAGTGCCCGCCCCACCAGCCCTGCAGCTGACTGCCCTTGCTCACATGTGCTGCTGTACCAGTAAGAGGGAGCAGAGCTGGGCCAGCTCCTGCTGCCCATTCCCAGTGCAAGGGTGAGTCTTCATTATTTGCTTCCAAGGAAGCTTGCTCCTTTCAGGTGAGCAGCAGCAGCAGATGGGAGGGAGATTCTGGTCTTGCTTTGCACAAGAAAGAGGCAGGGCAAAGGCCAGGGTACCACATACACAAGGAGTTGTCCTGGGTTTGGTGGCAGCAAGGATCTCTGTTAGGGAAATGAGCTTCCCCTGTATTCACCAAGTCTGTTCAGCTCTTTCTCAAGAGAAACCTGAAACAGCTACATTATGCCCAGGGCCTTATATTCCTCTGAAGAGCCCAAGAGCAGAAACAATGGGTCTGAGAGGCTGGTGTGAGGGGCCTGCCTTGATGCAGCTGCCCTGGAGACAGCCAGAGGGCTGGAGGGCAATGGGGAGGGCAGCATGAGCCCAAAGGGCTGCAAGGAGAAGGAGGAAGAGATATGAGAAATGCTCCTTCCCTCCCTCCCCTTGCTGTGGAGCAGCCTGGCTGTCCCAACACAAACATTCCAGGCTCACTAACCAAACCCAGCTGCTGTCATGGGCTCAAACCCAGCACCTCACTGAGCAGCGTGTGTGCTGCCAGGAGCTGGGGAGCTGCCTTTCTCTGCTCACCCCCCTGCTTCCCTTCCTGCCACCCTGCCCTACCTACACATGGTCAGCTCTGACCCCTCTTACCTGTTTGCATTTTCCAAGGTCTCCACTTTTTTCCAGAGTTCATTGTTTTCTGTGGTGTATGTCTCGACCCTGCAGGAATAAAACCCACAGCAACTTAGTTACAAAGGCCAGGCAGACAAAGGAAGTGTAGTCCTTGTCTCTCCTGGTGTGTGGAAGCTCAGTGGCCTCATCCATCAGCTGCAGATATGGTCCTGGAGCCAGATGTTCCTGGCCCATGTGGTTGCAGCCAGCCCCAATGGACCAGGGATGAGATTGCAGGTGGTCAGTTAACATGTGACAGTTCCCAATTCAGGCTTTCCTGAGGGTTGGAATGCCACTAGTTCCTGGTTACAGGCAGGTCAAGTTAGGACAGACTCAAAGTTATTATGCAGGCATTTCCATCACTTGCAAACCCCCTCTAAGGAGCATGGAAAAGGGGGATAAATTCAAATCTGTCCCACTCAGACTGAGAACCTGCCCTGGCTGTGCGCCTTGCGTGTTAAAACCGGGCAGCTCGGTGCAGATGCTGGGCCGGCTCCCACTGCAGGCACACGAGGGCAGCAGAGAACCTGCAGGCTCCATCCCACTGCTTCGGAGGAAAAGTGGTTGGGATGGGAGAAGGGGAGTGTCTCCAGGCCAGCAGGAAGGCAGGCCAGGGACACAGCCTGATCCTGCGGGAGGTTTCCAGCACGCTCTCTGAACCAGGCGTTCCGTGTAAAAACTGGGCTTACAGCGAAGGTGTCAAACTGAATGTTGAAGGGCCCAAGTGGAGGTTTTGACAAACCAGCTCTGCCAGAAAGCCAAGTTGACCAAAGACTTGTTCCATTAAAAAAAAATCCAGTGAATGCTGCTTTTGGTTCACATTTAAAGCTGGCATTGTTTGAAAGCCATCTGTCACAGCAATGCACCAGCGGAACAAACCGCTGAGCACACACAGGCACCGCAGCCACGGCTGGGGAGGAGGCCCCAGCTCAGATGCTCTGGACCTGCCACTGGAATGAGGTCAGCCAAGAGCCCAGCCCCAGCCTGAAGGATCTGGGTGGGACACAAGCTGGGGGTGATGTGCTCTGATGCCTGGACACACCCCCCACGGTGTCGCTTATGGAAGGACAGGAGAACTTGAAGGTGCTTTGAGGCATCTGGTTTTATTCAGCGTTTCTGCATGCTTAGAGCATTTAAATAAATAGCATCAGTGAGAAGAGTTCATTAAAGTTGGGTTTGGGAATTAGTTTTCTTCCATTTTGCTGTTCTCAGGTGGTGTTAGTAACAGGGAAGAAGGTGGTATTTGCACAGAAATAGGAATTTTCACCTGGATCGTGGCTTTCTTTTTTGCCTGGGAATGGCCACCAGGGGCTGCTTGTACCAAGGGCATCAGAGGATTAGGCCCTTAAGAGTTATTTTCCACCCTATCAGTGTCATGTAATGTCACCTTAGGCTTATGCCTACCATACATGCAGGACCTCAGGGTTGCAAGGAGAAAAACAAAGCTCATGCAAGGGAGGGAGTGTGGGGAATAACTGTAGTGCAAGGTTTTTCTTGCTATCAAATGCTTGTCTATCCACCCTTATGGAAAGAGAGGGGGAAAAATCTGTGGTCAGTGCCCTCAGGGGGCCTGCTGCGTATGGGACAGACAAAATAGAAGCAATTTCTAGTGGGGAAACATGACTCTTACCCAAAATCCCACCTTGTTGGCAGCCAAAATGGCCTGCGTTCTGCAGGGGACCAGCCAAACTAAGCACTTGGAAACACAAAGTTTCTAGAGCAATCTTTATCCTGCAATAGGATTTCTAGGAGGGAGGGGAGAAGGGGCAGGATCCCAAAGCAAACTTCTGTGTAGCCAGCCTTGCAAGGAATCGTGCTCTTTGAGCAACTCAGAGACAAAAACAGTAGAAAGGGGGGCTGTGGATGGACAGGGCTCCTTTTTCAGAGGTAAGACTGAGAATAAGATACTTACTTTTTCTCTAGACACTCCACATACTCTTTCTTCTTCCTGCGACTCTCCTGAGCAGAGATCTGTGAGGGGGGCAGCCATCAGAGAGGAGTCAGTATCAGAAGCCTCTAGACATTGCTTTGTGGCTTCTTCATCTTGTCTGTTCCCTGCACACACAAGCACCCTAAAGGTAAATGGGGATATCGCCTTCCAGTCTGCCATACCTACTGGTCTCCAGGCCAAAACTGGGAGGGATGGATATGTAGGTATGCAGCCTACAGGCCACAACCATTTCTTGCAGCATGCCTGTCCTCCCTGCTGCTGAGAGCATCTTTAGGGTTGCTTTGAAGACCTCTGACTCACATGGGTATGTGCAGTGGTCATCTGGTCAGATTCTGCCCCAGACCACTTCTGAGTCACGGGATGACTAATTCAGGGTCTCATCATTTGTCCCAGGGGATGCTTTCTAATCACAGTCTGAAGCCTCACAGCTTTTGCCTGACTACTGAGCTTCGTGCATCACTCATCCTGCACCATGCAATGGCTCTTGTTTCCCTGCCTCCACAGCAAGGTCTGACCAGGCTGGTTTGTCTGATCCACGATGCCTTAGCTTGTGGGTCCCACCCCAGGCCACACTTCCCAGATACAGCTGCAACGCAGCATGCATGCAGAAATGCCTCAAGGCACCATTTCTGTGGGTTGGGAGGCTTGTTCCAATGTACCAAAGGCAGGATCCCACCTTTTCTGAGCTGCACTGCAGCTGAGGATGCTCTGGAATCATGAGAACTGCATGATTACATTTTTGGCGGTCACCTTGTTCTTGATTTTCCTCCTGACCCTCTTCAGTGCTTTCTCCTCTGCTTTGGTGAGGGGCAGCTTGGTAGGAATGGGGTAGCCCTCAGCAATCAAGGTGCGTTTCTCCTCTTCAGTCAAGAGCAGTGGGCCAGAGGTCCCTTGTAACTTCTGAAACACACAGAGAGCAGGAATCAGCATCAGCAAGGAATTCTATCCCAGTGATCCTCCTTTTAAGGAGCAGCTAGGGGCTAAGTACGAATAGGTACAGGGCAGTGCTCTTGCCTGCTCTTAACCTGATCATGGGGGCACAGCTCAGCAGTTGCCTTCCTCTTTTACTTGGGAAAGCATCTGCTCCTTTATGGTAAGGCTGGCTATACACTTGCACTGCAGGACCCTGTCAAAGAACTTTTGGGTGATGGTTAAAACACAGTCTGGTTATGGGAATTCTCGGTTATTCCCTTCTCTTTCATTAACTTCAGAAAGTCCTCCAGTGCATAGGCTGCATCCCAAAGTATGGGGTGAAAGACAGCACTTGCTAAAACAAGGCAGCTGCTGGTAGGCATTGTGCAAGACTTACTGCACCTCTCCTCACTCCTGTGAGCACCACCCTGTCCCCCTCCCTGTGCTAAGACATTGCCTTGCCAGGGCATTGGAGCTCGGAGACCTGAACAAGAAAAGGATCCCCAACATGAGCCTCAGAAAGCCTCCAGCCCCCTTTGAGCACCAGAGAGCCCTGTGTCCCAGTGACATCCTACTGCCTCCTTACATGTGGTGCTGTGAGGAGAGGTGAGGAGGAGATGGCAGTAGAAGAGCGAGCAGCAGGTCGGGCTGGGCTGGAGGGAGGCAGGGACCGGGGGCTCTGAGATCCATCGCTGTCACTGCCATGGCTGCTGGGTGGAGTTGGAGGCATCTGCACCAGGTCATCTACTGGGAAATAAAAGGAAATCAAGTCAATGACTCTCACGTCAGGCACAGGGACCTGAGACGCAGCAAGAAAAGACATTGCCATAACAGAGGACTGAAAAGAGGATGATGAGTCTCTCACAAGACGAGGTGGGTCTGAGAGCAAGGCTGGACTGAGCACTGCCCAACACAGGGGTGAGGCTGACCTCAGATGTGCTAAACTGGAACTGCAGGAGTCAGAGAGCTGGCAGGGTCTTTGCCAACACACTGAAGGTATTTACAAAGCAATGAGGTACTCCAGTGTCAACTTAAAGGGAATACAAAGCCTGTGATATTTTGCTCCATAGCCTGTTCACAAGCACAGGAAGCTCTGTAAGAGAAGAGCTCTTCCAAAAGCACTGCAGGGCTCACACACTTGCCAGAACACTTGATCCAAAGGGGCTCTGGTCACTCGATCGGTTTCCAAGCACTTGAAAACTGTCCCCACTTTGTACTGGAGAGCCCTGGGGGCCTTCATGGAGGTGGGAATATGCCTAAGGAATGTCTCTCTGCAGCAGTGGGAGTTCCTATAGTGCTTTCATTTGTGCATCGGCAGATTTTCAGATGCTTGGGTTTCTTTCAAATTAAACTGGATCCTGAATTTCCTGACTTTCAGATGGTTGTTTTTGGATAACACTACAGTCTCTCTGAGGATTTTAAAGGCTCTCTTGCATATTTCCTACTCTCAAGTATCCTGGTTTGCCTGGGAGTCCCTATATGAACAATTCTGTGCGTGACTGCTGGTCCAGACACTGACCTTAGTTGGAACAGTGCAGCACTCACTCCTCTATTGGGCTGTGCCCCAGTGCTACCTTGCATGGCTCTGCTCTCAGGTGTTGTCTTTCCTCCCTGTATAGTAATGATCTATATCTAAGTAATATAGAGGGATGCAAGTTGACCAGCAAATTCTATCTTCTTACCTGTAGGTACATTTATAAACTGGTTCACCTCTTTGGGTTCAGCTTTGATCACAGGTGCTGGAGTCATTTCAATGGGAGTCTGTGGAAGAGAAGCAGAAAGAGCTCTTGGGTGCTGCCACCTCTCCTCAGAGGGCTCCCAGAGCCGCTACTCCCATGCTCTCTGTCCCACCCCATCTCACAGCTCTGCCTCAAAGCAGCCTCTCACCATGCATAGCAGAAACCAAGAGTCCAAACATAAGCCCCCCTGGCCTGTGTTGCTGGGCACACAGAGTGCAAACACATGTTTGCAGAGGAAGAGGCAGTGGCAAATGGATATGCTGCCAAGTGGTGCACTGAGTACCTCCAAAAGGGAGATGATTTCTGTCCTTGGCAATTTGCTGGACCCAGACAGTGGAATTTAAACCAACCTATACATTACCCTCTTTGATTTGCCTTCATTAGAAATGGGAGGATAGAGGCCGTACAGAAACAGCAACAGAACCACCCCCATCCTGCTTACATGATTTTCACCAGGGCTGCTGGGCAGCTGGTTCCAATTGCAGGAGACTGAGAGTTAAATAAAGAGTAGATTTATTCCCATCTGGGCTGTGCTGCCCCTCAGCTTACCAGCCCCCAGCCCACCAGAGGCTGGGGGAGCTTTTACACTAAACAGACACACTGCAAACTCCTCCAGACTGTAAACACAGCTGAGAGAGCACCATAGGATGGCTGCTGAGCACACACAGCAGAGCTCTGAGGGCACAGCAAGTTCAAGCTGTGTAAATAATGGAGGAAGTTTGTGCACAGTTTTGGCTGGAAGTACCCATTTGTTTTGGATAGTTGTTTAAATGGGAAGATGCTCAGCATGAGTGAAAAAAGGAAGTGAACCCCAGAGATGCTCTACTGTTATCTACTGAGCTGCTACAAGATAGCCAAGGTCTGTGTGAGATGAGTCAGACTTTCCCATCCAACACGACTGGACTCAAGACATAAGCCCCCAACTTACACCATCACCAGTGGCATAAGTGAGCCTTCTCCAGACAAACAGACTTAAGAACTTAGATATCACCAAAAGACTTGGCCCTTTTTTCTTAGAAATTATAATTACTGCTGCTTCATAGGAAAAAGCAAAGCAGGACCTGGAGAGAGACCTCCACTTGCAGTGAGCAACTGAGAAAGTGAGAGGTCATATGATAAGCCCAAGGCCATGAAAAAGGCAGTGGCAGAGCAGGGGTCTATGCTGAAGAATAGTGAGGCCAGTGGCATCACATTTAATTGACATTGATCTCTGAAAGTTTAAAATAAGCCAAGAGTGGCTACAGAAATACTGGCAGATTGGAGGGGACAGGCCTCCAGCACATGCAAGCTTAAAAGCCTTTGGCTTTTGTGCCAAGGAAACATGCTTGCATTTAACCAAGATTGTAAAGCATCCTATGCTGGAGAAAACCTTCCTTCCACCATTTGCTCTGGAAGTTGTCTTGTAGTTTCAGTGCAGGAATTGAGAACACAGTTCTATCTAGCATCAGGAGTGCTGCTCCTCTGACTGCCATTTCAAGAGGAGAATGACAAATAATGCAGTATCTGGGCTTTGCATCACTTTCTCCTCTGTGTCAGCAGCTAAATCCCCTAGCAGGACACATGGCAGGGCCTGCATCACCAGGGGTGCGCTGTGTGAGAGCCCAGCTTCCCAACGGATCCTAGATGGGCTCACCTCCTCGGGGACTGGCAGTCTCTGCAGAGGGTTGAGGTTCAGCACTGGTATGGAGCTGGCAGCTAGCTGGGACTCAGGCAGGTCTAGAGCCAGGTTCTGTTCCTGTTTCACCATGATGGAGCAGAGCTTGGGCCCCAGTGACCACACTCCATTCTCCAGCTCTGAAACATGCACAACATGAGAGTCAAACTCCAGCAAGAACAAGACAAGAGAAATAAAAAGTCATGCAGACAGCTTCCCCCCATCTGGTGAGGCTGCCTTTCCAAGTTTAGCACTGTCACCACACAAGCATGTGCAGGCCCACAACACAGAGTACAAAAGGGAATGAACCCCCAGCGTGCAGGGAGCAGACAGGACAGAGCTAGAGGGGTTGTGGCTCTGCTCTGACTCTGCAGCCCAAGCACTGGAGGAGAGCTGTGGGGTTTCTTCCCTCAGTGATGTCTCAGTCTCGTCCTCTGCAGCTTACTTCTATTTAGAGCTCAGTGAGAGGAGGATGCTGGGCTGTTGCTCCTTAGGCAGCATGGCCAGCATCACAGACCTGCCAGGTTAACCAAGAATAGCACCCCCTCCGTGCTAGAGAGCTGGTGAGAGGGCAAGCACGATGGCAGTGAAAGGCTGACAGTGCTGCCTTGGTCTCCTGCTGATGTTGTGCCAAGTACCAGAGCTTTGTTGCCTGATGGGAGAGGAGGAAGGTCCATTTCTGTGGAAGTCCAATGTAGCATCTGCTTGTGAGGCTGCTCCCATGGCTGCTCCCCTTAGTCTTACCTCCTTCACCCTGCACTGCTCAGGGGACTGCTGCCTATAGCTATGCCAATCAGTTCCCCTGCCATTGCTGGCAAGGACAGAAGCAGCAGTGAGGGAAAGGAAGTGTCTGAAGAGACCTGAATGGAGCTGTGTTGGCACACTCCCCTTACTCCCTGCCTACTCTGTCCTGTGCACATCCGTGGTGTGAGCCTGGAACCAGAGATCCCAGGAGCTGGGATTCAGGCAGTGGTGGATAAGCTGCAGCTCAGATGGGAACAAAAACCCGCTAGGCAGGAGAGCTGCCTGGGTTCTGCTCTGTAGTTTTGGTCCCTTCATTGCTCTTAAATACTTCAGCCCGACAAAAAGCTACTCCTCTACTGGCCTGGAGCCTGCATCCTCCTCCCTAATCCTCATCTCTTCTCTTCCCCCTTTTATCTGGCAATGAGAAACTCATTTAGCTTGACACAGGACAGACTTGAGTGTGCCACCAGATAGTGCGCTAGTTGGCTGAACATGAGGCTGCAGTCAGGCTTAATCCCTGACTCATCTGCACTACTCTGCATGCAGCACTCAGGGATGTTGCCCAGCTGCCTGCTGCTCAAAGTAGTTCTGCAGTGCAGGTCTCAGTTTAGAAGATGTCCTGGCAAGAGGAGAGGGTGAGAAAGGTCCTTCTCAGCTCCAGAAAAGCCTGCACAAAGGAGTACAAGCAAGTAGCTGTTCATGTGGAAGCTGCCATCTGAACTAAACTTAAAGGTATCTTAACATCATCTTTCCCCAACGCAGTCTGTTGCCATCAAGAGAAGACAGGACAGAAGCCTCTGGCTTTTACTTGGAAACAGTGGTGTTAAAGCTTAGGCAAGAATTGTACTAGTTAACACAATGCTGCCCTTGCCAGTGGAATATGTTGTCTTCCTGTCTTTGGCCTAGCACCTCTAGGCTCATTCCTTCCAGCTCCCTGTGTGACTGGACATCTTCAAGCACAGACACGAGTTCCTGTGGCTGCTCCATGTGGCAGAGAGCACAGTTACCCCTGGTATGCAGACAAGCCTTTTCTGATGGAAGGGGGCAAGGTGTGACACAGTCACAAGTGTTTGCAGCCACAAAATGTGGACTGACATCTTCTGCCTGGTCACAGCCTGTCTTAGAGATGAGGGACAGTCAGAGGTCTTCCCGTTTATCCCACTGGTCTAGGCAAGTTCAACTATACCCGTATCAGTCCTGTCAGATGGTTGTCTGACTTGATCTTACCCCTCTGAAAAGTGATGAGGAATCCACAGCTTCCCCCATTAAATCTCTTCTACAGTTTCACAATGCCCACTACAGGAATGTTTTGCCTCCTGGCTAATCTGAAGTTGTCCTACTTTGATTTTAAGCCTCATCTTCTTCATCCTTTGTGTTGCAAAGCTCTGTATTTCCCTTCTTCTCAGAGACTCAGGGCATCCTCTGCCTGGGAGGGCTGCTGCTGAAGCAAGTTGCTAGACAAGGGAGAGCAGACCACCAAGGGCTCTCCCTGTGCAGACTGGACTCAGCAAGAGAGCAGTCCCTAGTGCTGTGAGTCCAGACAGTCCAAGGATCAGACACCCAAATACATATGCACTGTCCTCCCATTTCCTGTCTACATTCTGACCCTGCTCTCTTTCCCACCCTCGGAGATTTATCTGGGGAGTGATTGGGTTACAGAATCAGAAACACATCAGGGGGTCAATGAGGGACTGAGGAGAAAGCATTTTGTTTGGACACATCTATATTCTGCTGCCTGAGAGGACGTTTCGGATGAATGGCCAGTCTGTAACCACTGCAGGTTTCACTCTATGTTGGTGGGTGAAGCATGCCAGGAAACTCATCCTCTGCTCTATATACTCTGTGCGTAATGATAAGAAGTAATGGCTGAGAGACATCCATAGCTGCCCTGGGATAAGGAGCTGCGGCAAAGAGGAGTGAGGAAGCAGGACTTGTACAGAGGGGAAAGCAGCAGCCTGAGGCTGGTCCAGCACCCACAGTCCTGGCTGCCTCTGCTCCTGGCATCAAATCCACCCTGAAGAACTTAGGGCTGGTACTGAGAACCAAAGTAGCCAGTCTGCATGTGTAAACCGTTTGGAGAGCAGACCCCACTGATAAGCAGGGTCACAATAAACCCAGTGGCTTGCCCTAGCTGACCTGTGTTAGTGGGAACCATGTGGGAAGGGGTAGGATTTGGAAGTGTTTTGGAGTTCTGCAGAAAAGCTGGGAGAAAGCTGATAAATAGCAAGTCTCAGCCAGCTCCAAGCCTAGACAGAGCCCAAGCATTCCTGAGGAGCTCTGCAGACCAAGCAGAGCTTGCTTAATGTCAAAGAAAAGCCATTTCTGAGTAATTAATTTGAAATGAATGTCTAAAAGGACTGAGACTGGATGGAGCTGTGCCAAAAGGACTGCACAGTGTTGCAAATACTGGACCTGACTCAGGGCTACACTAGAATATGACTCACATCCAAATACGAGCCAAGACAGCCCTGGAAAGATGGGTTGAATTATCCCAATGCAGGACTGGGATAAGGGCATAGATACCCCTATACCTGCCACATTAATACTAGGCCTTACTCCCTGTATAGAGCTGATCTGCACTCTCTGAGAGCAAGTGCCAGATCCATCTCAAGGTCTCCTGGGATACGTACTGTATATCCTGTGATGGCCTCTGCCCAAGGATCAGTGTCACACTCCATTCAGGAGAGTCATGGTCTTGCTTTGGAGACACTGTAGCTGATGCTGGGGCATGTCCAGACACAGAGGAGAGGAGCAGAAGTGTTGACAAGTGTCTCAGAGAGAGTCCCAGAGGTAGCTTCATGTGGGCAGACTTCATTTCACTGCCTTCTACAAACTCATGCTTTTTGCTTCTCCCATTACCAAGCCTCATCCCTCATCTCCTCCTATTCATTTGCAGGGGCAAAATAAGGATGTGTTTATTTGTTCATGCTGGTTTGTTTTCTGTTAGTCACCCGGCTGCCTGTTTGGGCTCAGTGCCCTCCAAGATCATATTGGGGCTAAACCTAAGGAAAAAGGAATGCAAATGGAAAGCTTTTTTGATACTAAGGCAGAGCTTGCTTGGCCTGCCACAAGCCTCTCTCCTAGCAACTCTCTGAGTGACCCCTAACTGATGGCTGCACCTTTGCAGGGACCAAAGAGGCAGTGGATCAGCTCCTCTCTTTCTGCCTTGGCATTTGCACCAGAGAGCTGGGATCATTCCCGGCCATAAGAGGGAAACCTCTGTCCCAGGTCTCACTCTTGCTCAAAGGAATGGCTTTCTTCTGTGTATACTGAGCCTGTGCCACTGCTTTTTCAGGCAGCCTGGTGCCCATCAGCTGTTGGGACACCCACACAGTCCCACAAATTACAGGACTCTCTGCAAGGACGGCTCTAAAAATATCCAACCATCATAAATTATCCTGAAACGAATTGTTTTAAAAATAGGTTTTGAAATGACTGTTCTTCTTTGTCTCCTGCTAAAAGATGTGCTGGTAAAGAAGCCACTTAGCCTTCCACATGTACCAGCACTGGTTGCAGCCAGAAACTCATGCTTCCTATATTGCAAGCCAAACCCCTGCTGCCTGATGCCAAAACAGACCTGGATCTAGGGCACCCACACCCAGGTTTGCAGGGTCCCTAAGAGACATTGCCTAGTGTTTGCCAGAAGCTGGCAGCACACGCAACCACAGCTGATAATCATTGCCCAGCAAAGGAGCAGTGTGGCTGTGAGAGCACAAACTGAAGGAAAAAACGTGGGCTGTATTTGACAACAGTGGATCAAGCCCAAGGAATTGCTGGTTTGCCCTTATACATGGAAGCAGATGGAGCCTCTGCTAAGAGATGTGCCTGAAGCTGCACAGTGTGCATGTCTCACGCTCACCATTCACGTTATCTTCAGTCTTGACAGGCACGAGGGGGCTCTGGGGTGCAGAGTCTCCACTGAGGGAGTAGCTGTGCTCTGCCTGGATGCCTGGAGTGGGGGGATCCAGGTCCATGTCCAGCAGCGGATTCTTCTCAGCCAGTACTGGGTCATCGAAGAAACTGCTGAAGAGGTCGTTGGAGAAATCCTCCATGTTGTCGGAGAAGTGATCCAGGTTCTCTGAGAAATGCTGAGGGAAGACAAAGGGAGAGAGTGCATTTGTGTCAGCTCCAAGAGGGATCCGAGAGCCTTCCTCTGTACCGAGAGCCAAACCTCAGCAACAGCCCTTTTTGGATGGGAAAAAGCAGTTCCTATCCCTTCCCCGCATCAGTTTGATAAAACCACCCTGAACGAATATAGAAAGGGCTGTGGTGCTGTGTGTCTTCCCTGCCTGTTTATCTATGCCACAAAAACTCATGCAACTCTTCCGCATTCTCACATCTCCCCCTTCCTCCATGGTACCTATCTTTGGCTTCCTAGCATCACTTCACTGTGACAATGAGCCAAACAGAGCACAAGGCAAGAAATCCCTGTGATGACAAAATGCAAGTGTGGCAGAAAATCACCATCTTCAGCACCTGCCCTTGGTGATAGACACTTTCTCATGCTCTCTGCCAGTAGCAATGGGCACTCAGATGCTCCAGAGAACATTAACCCAGCTGCTGATTTCTATCAGAGGGAAAAAAAAAAAGATCAGTTGGATTGACATAACAGGAAGACCCCCTGTTGTATTTCATTTCCTCTGGGATTTCACAGCCCCTCTGTGGACCATATGAGGCTGTCCTCCAGCCAGATAATGCCTGCGAAATTCAGCTCCCCGATGAAGTTTAAACACTACAGATGGGCTGTTAACAACAAACAATCATCCCGCTAATCATTCCAGTAACAGTCAGTAAATTTGGCCAGTGCTGCTGCAGAGCTGGGCTCCTGATGCTACAGAGAACCTGTTTCCTTTGAGGCATATCCTCCTATTCAGAAGTCAAATCACTAACTTTTCCATTCGCTACAACAAAGCATTGGTTGGGCAGGGAGAAAAATGGTGGTTGCCAAACACCAGCTGAAAAATTATCCCATTTGTTGGCAGATTGAGGCTTCTGGCTCAGGGAGAGGAAAGAAAAGACAGATACATTCAAGTGACTATATTACACAGACGGAACTGTGTAACTTAAATGAACTGGAGAGAGCTCGGCCGACTCAGACTGGGTCGTCCCCCTCCTCGCCTGGAAAAGCATCTGGGTGGGCAGAAAGGCATTGAAAGCAGCAAACAAATACAAAGAGCAACAGGGTATGGATGAGAGAGAGTGGGAGCGAGCAGGCAGGTCCTAGAGCAGAGACATGAATGCCAATGACTTCCAGTGTGAGAGCTGAACTCAGGAAGAAGCACGAGGTGTGTGCAATCCGTCCTTTCTCCAGTGCTAGGACTGAGGGAGGAGTTGGCCAGAGGACCCCGGATGCTGGAGCCTGCGGTTCCTGCTCCTACAAGAAGGTGTATTTGTTTTACCTGAGCACAGAACCACTCTGTCAATATTATACTGTCAGAAGGTTGGGGTGAGGCAGGGGAGTGAAGCAGCTGAACAGACCCACACTTCCCACCAAATGGGGGAGGAAATGGTGCCCTTCACCCTCCAACTTCACCCCTCAGCCACTCAATGTAAACACTCAGGTGCTCACAGAGTATGCTGGAAGTGAGGGGAGTCCCTGCCGCCTGCATTCTGCCTGACACAAGGTTTCTCTCCCTTTGCTTCTTTCTCATTTTTCTTGTACTTCCATTGCCAGGAATGACAGCTCTGGGAGGGCAGACACTGCATGTGTAGGTGAGGTGGAGAAGGCTAACTCATGCTAAATCCCAGTGTTGAGGCACTCCCTGGGATGTCTGGGCTGAAGTTTTCTCCACTTGTTCCCATGCTGGAAGCAGAGTTGGCAGGATAGCTTGGTAAAACCTACCCAGCCATTTCCAAGTTGCCTAGAAGCATTTCTGCCGTTGAATTAAGCGACAGAAAACACCTCCCATCTGTGCTGAGCACAACTGGTCTTCAGAGGGAGCTGAGTCAGCAGATGAAACTGGGTTAGATATTTATCTTAAAAAGCACTAGAAAACCAGGGTTTGTCCTATCCTACAGCACAGAGGAGTAAAGAGTTTGGAGCATTAACCCGAGAGGGTGCCTGCTCGTGTAGCAGCTGTTCTTTGTCTTGTTTCTCTAAACAACACAAGCAAACACAGGATGTGAACACGATAGCCTTACGGTAAGGGTGAGAACGTAACCACAGGGAAGTGAAGGGATTCAGAGCTTTGGCTGCCAGCACACCACGACAGCACAGCAGAGCCAGGATCCAACAAGAGGCACTCAAATCAGATGTACTCTTGTAACCAAAACTAGAACCACCATGGAACCCTGGAAGAGGAGCAGAGCTGGATGGCCAGCTGCAGGGAGAGCTGTGACTGCCATATGCTTCCCATTCCTTCCACAACTGTGCATTAACAAAAGCAGAGTAGGAGTGAAGAGAGTCAAGAAGGTGCATTTATGCAGTAGTTCCACACATTATCTTTTAGCAGTATCCCACCCATGCTTAGAACAAGGATGTCTTGGCCAGTCAACAGTCTTCCCATTGTGGGACAAACCTTCCTGGAGGGAAGAGGCAGAGATAAAAAACATAAAAAATTCTCTCCAGCAGCAGCTCTGGGCTTAGAGACGAGCAATGAGTGCAAGGAGCTTACTTATCAGAGCCTTAACATGGGCACTAACATCGTCAGGAGTAATTGCAGATTTCTGGTTCTTTTAGCCACCATACAGCAGCCTTTCTGGAGGACCTCACTGCTTGGAAGTGAGGATGAAGGCAGCACTGTTCTCCCAGAGATGCAGGAGTTCAGGTCCCCAGGAGATGGAGACCTACAGCACAGTGTGGGAAAAACATGGGTGATAAGCAGAGATTCCCTGGGAATCCAGACATTTTGGGGCACATAGCCCAATCTAGGCTCCTGGGTCTTATCCTCCCGTGCAACTAAGTACTGGCAAAGCCTTCTCATTGAAGCAGCCCCCTTTCAGCTCTCACCAATCATACATATACCATTCCAACATTTCCAGACACAGAGGGTGGGAAGAAAGGAGCTAGACTAAGAGAGTGGGAATAACTATAGTATTGTCAAAGGGGGCATCAAGGATCAGACACCCTTAAAGAGGGAGAGCACCTAGAGCTGTCACAGAGCTGGAGATTGCTGTTTTACTCAAAGAAGGTGGCAAGAGGCAGAGGCAAGCAGAAGAAGACAGGGTAAAGCAAACAAAGATAATGACATGGCTTTGTAGCTGGCTATATCCACAACGGAAACTACAGGCCAAGCAGGAAGCTAAGCCACCATGTCCAATAAAGACTGCTGTATCTCTTGGGTTGGCTCTGTTCTCTCCTGATGACAACAGGTATTATTAACTTTAGATTTCTGATTAGTAAAGACAGCCGTGCATGCATGCAACCACATGGTAACAGGAAAATGTGTCCTCTTGTCCAGATCCAACTGTGATGGGCACAGTAAGGAGCAGCCCAGAGCTTATTTTGGATAGATGCCACCAAAACGGCTGCTAAATAGTTTAGATCAAGCCTACTAACCCAGAATGTACAAACTCTGTCCCACCCTCGTTGGGGGAGCTACTTCTATCTGACAGTGCTAAGAGAAGGCTTCAGCTGTGCTCTTCCTTAATGCATGTGAGAGAGAAGGTTCCAGGGAGCTGCAAATCCCAGTGTATGGTGTCTCAGGCCTGTGTGGATCATGATAGAGCATAGAAGGGTCAGTGCTCTAAATTCCTGAGCAATAAACAGAAGCAGGTTTATCACCTGGCCAGATGGATGGTAGCTTTCTCCTGGCTGGAAGCTCACATGCCAAAGGAAGTGCTGGCAGCCACTAGCTCTCCCTTCTCCCCCACAGCTGAAGGCCTTCATGTGCTGCCAGAAAAGGCTGTGCTGGGCTTTGGAAAGACTTTTGCCAGTGCTGTGGCACTTGTTGGTCAAGAAGGTCCAAGAAAGAGTCTGCAGGATTCAGACATGAATGAAGGTGAGATAGACTGAGATGCATAATCAGAGCAGGGTCATCGTCTCACAGCCTCTTCAAGGCTCTCTCCTTGAGAGCACCTTCCAGCCAGGAGATCAGTCAGCTCCCACTCCTCAGAGAGTTGGCCAAGAATTTCCAATTGTGACAATGAAGGACTCTGGAACTCTACTGAGATTCTCCTTTAGGATATCTCAAGTAGCTTTCACACAGATGGGCCTGGCTTAAGCAAGGGAGACCAGTCAACTGGGAAACGTGATCTTTACCATCCTGTCCCAGAGGGAGCGGGTGTGAATTGTACTGGGGGAAAACAGCTTCCAGATGGGATGTGAAGCTCACAGCAAAGTCTCATTTCACATTATTCGCTCTTGCTATCTCCCCCTCCCTTTCACACCCTCCTTCCTTCTCTTTCTAACTATGCTCCAAAGCCAAGAAATAGCACGAGATGTGTTTCCAAAGCTGTATTACCAGTGAGCGGTCAGGGAGGGGGCAGCCAAGGGACAGAAACACAATGGCGAGGATGTGCTGGATTTCCTGATCCAAGCCCCACTTCTGGCTGCCTGTCCCCCCACATCAGTTCTGGGAGGATGGCGAGGCAGCACCCAAAGGGGACAAGCCAGCATGTGCAGGTATGGGGCAGGTAATGACCAACGCATCTCCAAGGCCCAACAGAGAGCCTTAAGCTGCTCTGGTGCCACAGGAGAATCTTAAAGAGTGCAAATCTGTCAGCTGCTGGCTCCTGCTCCCTCCCACTCCTGGTGACCGACACAGGCACTGACTCTTCCAAACATATTTCCACCACATGTTTTCATCCTGACCTCATGCTTAGGGTTGTCTAAATAGCACACTGTATGTGCGTGCGTGCACTCCTCGTTTGAACACCCTTTCCTGTTGTACAACAGTTATCCTGGGAGCTAGTGTAAGGCATCCAGATATCCAAATGCAAGCTCTCCATTTCCCCCCACCCAGAGCTGGCATTAGACCTCTAGAGGTCCCAAGCAGAGACTGAGACATTAAGCCTTTTCTGCTGCCCCATTGTGCATGGAAGGCCTTAAAGGTGTCACTTTCATAGCCCAGTGGCACCACGCATGGCTGAGGAGGGAACGATTTCCTCTCCT